CCGTGCGCCCCGCCCGGCCGCCGCTCGCCGTGCTCCGCTTCCGCGCCGCACCGCGCTGTAGCCGCCGGCTTCCGCCAACACCGCCGCCGAGGTAGGCGCCGCGGGGAAGGCTGGGCTCGGGCTGCGCGCCGGGCCCCCGGCCGGGCCTGGGGTCCGGAGGGAGGCCGTGGGGAGGGGCCTCGGCGGGGAGGGAGCGGGGGCGGAAGCGCGCGCCGCCGCGTGCAGGCCCGGCCGTCCGGTCTAGGTGACCTTCCCCGGCGGCGCCCTCTGTCCTGGAGCCGGTCTCGTGGGGACCCTCTCGCCGCCTACGCGCCGGGCCGGTGCAGGGGTGAGCTCCCGGGACTCCCTGGGCCAGTCCACTCCCGGGGACGCAGGCGCCCGGCGCCTCCCGTGGTGCCAGCGCCCTTCCGAGAGGAACGGGCGGCCCAGAGTACACTTAGGCCTCAGGGCCCGGGACTTGGGCTCCGGCTGGAGGTTTGCCTCGGAAAAGGAGACCCCAGGAGAGCGATGTGGCCTACTTTGTCTTAGGAGGGTTCTCGGTTTGGTGGCCCATTCATTCGCCAAATGTGACAGCGTCCAGGAAACTGGCTCGGGGCTTGACATCAGATTCAAGGCCCACAGCCCTGGTGATTTGTCCAAGGTCACATAGGAAGATAGCAAACCTCAGTTTTCTCATCAGCGGGACGGGAGCAGTCACACCACTCCTTCGTTGCGGTTCGGGGAAGAATAAAGCTGATTAACGTGAAAATTTCCGAGCAGTGCGGGGCACGCACGAGGGCACGAGGCCTCCGTAGAAACCGTGACACTCACCCTTGAGGCTTTTGGGAAGGCTCGGCCCATCCCCCACAGCGCTTTGCTCCACGTGGTGCTCGGGAAGGGATTCAGTGAATGTAGCCTCTGCTAGTTTAAACATTATTGCCACATTAAGGAAAAGCATTTGTATACTTTCAGGATAATTGTAACCTTGAGGATAACTCATGAAAAGTCCTGTCAGCTTACAAATTGACGAAGAACGCACTTGCAGACTCTGACTGCGGTAGCATGCGCGGCTTATACCAGGCCTGCTCCACCTGAGCCCCGCACCTCCTGACCAGCTCCCTTCTCCAGAGCAGGAAGGCGAAAGGGCAGCCCCTCTGCCCAGTGTTCTCTGTGCCAGACTACCTGGGACTGCCTTCTTTCTCTGCACCCCAACTTTGGACAGCTTGAGCTTCTAGAGGGTCAGGCTTAGGCCTCAGGCAGCTTTGCCTTCATCGGCTGGGATGGGGCCACCTGGCCCACGCAGGCTCTTGAGAAGGGTCCTGTACTGATAGTGGGTGCATTTTATATTCTAGTCCTTGACACATAGCGGGTGCATTGTAAGTATTCGTGGAATTGCTGATCTGGGTGGGGTGGCGCACACACCCAGTACTAATCCTAGTACTTGGAAGGCAGAGACAGGAGGATCTCAAGTTCAAATCCTGCCTGGGATTTACAGATCCTATGTAAAGAAGGGCTGGGGATACAGCTCAGTGTGAAGGCCCTGGTTCAATCCTCAGTACCGAAGGGAAAGAATTATTTTTGGGATTATGAAATGGGTATATAATATATAGGGGCAGCAGGCCCAGAGCAGTGTCTAGGTCCCAGATATCCTTTTGAGACACATAGACACCTCACTTCTAGAAATATCCTAAAGAACCACGGTGATACGTACAGCTTTAGAGCAGAGACAGGCAAAGACTGTTTGCTGACCTGAGATAACTGCCTTGCACACAGGTCTTCGGTCCATGACTGTCAGGCTTACGGGAAACCTGTTGAACTGGTGTTTCTGGGCTTGAAGGTGGGACATGGGTGCATGGGACTCTGCCCAAAGCCTCTCCTCTTTGATGGAGTGTGCTCGTGGCTCTTTGGGCTTGTCCTGGACAAGGAGTCCTGGCGGGGAGGCACTGCTCGGGCACTGATGGCTGCTCGGCATTGCTAAATTCTCCGGTGCTCTCTCTTTGGTGGGAGTAAGGGCCCCAAGCTGGGGGGTGGCCCCTCGGGTGTGTAGAGTCAGGGGTCTGGGGTCCACCAGACCATGGGGTCCTCAGCTGGCCTCATATGTTCCTCCGTCTTGGGAATCAGGGTGAGGGGGCCCCAAGCTCTTTCCTCACACAGGTTGGAAAGAGACCTCAAAGGCAGCTGAGCCCACAGTGCTGATCCGATCTGAGCCATGGCCTCCAGTACAGGTTCAGTCACCTTCTGTCTCAGTCTCTGCTATAAAGGCAACCCTTGGCAGTCCCTCCACTTGCCCCTGCCCCGGCCGTCCAGGGCTGTGCTGTCACACTGCACTAGGTTTCTGTGCCTTTGCCATGTAGACATTGCTGTTTGGATGGGAGATGTTATTCCTGCCCCTGATCAAGGCAAGCCTGAGTGTGGCTGGATGTGGGCCAGCAGCCCTGGATAGTGGCCAGCAGAGCCACCCCAGTTAGTGGCAGGGCAGGGGTGCCCCGTGTGTTGTACTGGTGAGTGTTTCCTCAGATGAGATGGGAGGCACTTGTGCAGGACAGTACCTCCTGAGGACAGGGTTAGGGTTAGGGTTATGGACAGGGCAGATTCTGGACTGGCGGTTCACGGTGACCTTTTGGCAACACACTAGACAGCCACTGTTGTAATCTAAGACATCCAGGGTACAAAAGGAAAACCTGTCATAGAACGCTGGCTGCGTTTGTTGTGCTTACTGTTTACCAGCCATGGTATTGAGTGCTTTGTGTTAATGAGCTAATAACAGAGCTCAGGGGGTGCCGAGCCTGGTGCTCTTTCCCCATGTTAGAGTGGAAGGAAAATAGGGTACAGAGAAGTCGTGACTTGCCCAAGGTGACACACCTTGAAAGGGGTAGAGTAGATCTGGGGCTCAGGTCTCTGACTGCTGAGGCTACCAGCAGGTGCTGTCCGTGTTAGCCCAGTGGGCCAAGCCAGTCGGCGAGGCTCCAGCAAACCCAAATTGCTGGAGGTCAGGCAGGCACCCAGGGTGTGCCTGGGGCTCAACCCTGCCTCCTGGCTGCCAGCCCAGGCCCTCTCCCCTGACGGAGGGACGGACAGGGACGGACGGACGGGCGGGTAGGTTGGTTGCTGGGCAAGCAGGCTGGTCCTGAGGCAGCTGCATGCTCCTGAGGCCTGTGGAAGGCTGTGCTGGAGTGGTGGCCCAGCTTCCAGGGTGTTTTAAAATAGAAGCAACTCCTGGAAAGGGGGGCTGCCCCGAGAGCCTGTTGTGGAAGGGGGAGGGGAGGGCAGCTGCACTGGAATCACAAACCTGTTACCCAAGCACAAAATCGTTGTCTTTGCCAGGCTCTGCTTCCTGGCTGCCTCTCCTCTTCCTGGGGGAAAGTGCTGGTGTGTGTTGTGTGTGTGAGTGCGTGTGTGCGTGTGTGAAGGCCTCGAGAGTGTGCTTGCCCTCCCGTGGTAGCTTTCAGAACAGGGCTTGCCTCCTGCCCTCCTGCCTTTCTGCCGGGAAGTTGCTTTTCCTGGTCCCCAGGGGGTTTTGTGTTAATTTAACCCCAGCTGATCTGATGCCCCTTCTGTTGCCTGGCTCACTTTTGCCCTGGCAAACCACCCAGGATGGCACTGGAGAAACAGCAGACCCCGGGGCTTTCCCACAATGCCCTCTTCCTGAGGGGAATCCTGGGGTCGGGAGGGTGGTGGTGGGGGTTCTGGCTGCTGTACTGGCCAGGGTCCTTGCAGGCAGCAGGTGCACACTTTCACGTGGTAATCCAGCAGATTAGTGAGGGCTCTCAGAAAAATGTGGGCAGAGTGTAGGGTGCTTGACAAGGGATGGACCTTGGGTCAGTCAGTTAACACCTGAGGCTTGCAGAGGGAAGGGATGCTTAGCGAAACAGAGGAGCCAGAGCTCGGGAGGACGGCCCCTGAGAGGGGATGTGGCCTTGGGTAGAGGGAAGCAGTCGCTGCCACCTGAGGCCCCGCAGGGAGTTGACCTGGAGCTCCCATCTTCTGCAGGTGCCGCACATTGGCTGGACCCCACCTGAAGCCCACTGATAGATGACAGTGCATAATGACCAGTTCACGGGGTGCAGCAGGAGGGTAGAGCACCCAGGGTAATAGATTGCGGTCTCCACAGCCCTCAGTGCACTTCCTCGACAGGCTTTTCTAAGCATGCCACCTGTTTTACTTATTCCTTGTGACAGTTTCCTTAGGAAGGGCATTTTCGTTAGGCCCATTTTATAGGTGAGCAAAGTGGGATCCTATGAATGTGAGTCACACAGCCAGTGAGAGTTTAGTGGAGGGGTCATTCACGAGGATGTGGGCAGAGTGCAGGGTTCCTGTTAATGCTAGGGCGTCCTCTACAGGCTCTCGGGCTCACAGTCCTGTAGCGCCGGCAGGATGGTTCCTGATCTTTGGGTCCTGGCCCTGCTACGGCGTTGCCTTAGGAGGCAGTGTCCCCACCCCCTGGGGTGTTGCCTGTGTTCAAGAAACTTTTCCTTCCAGCTGCTCCTGGCTGAGTCTTGCAGACCCACAGGCACGCAGCAGCTACCCTGTCGCTGACTCCCCGAGGGTCCCCTGCCTGGGTCCTTCTGCTGTAGCCTGTGCAGAGAGGAAGAGGTGTGCAGGTGCTTGGTGTAGGAGTGAGCTTGCTTTCTCAGCACCCGAGGGGGTGGGGGTGCTGCCTGCTCACCTTGGTGATCCTAGCTCTGCCTGCCCTTGGCGGGCACCTGGGGTGAAATGTGTGGCCTGGGCCTGTCTCATAGCATTACCGTCTCCCTACAGTTGGAATCGGGTCTTGGAACCCACGTGGACACCGTCTGGAAAGATTTTCCTTCAGACATCTGAACTTGCAACAACCTATGGAAACATGGTTGGCTTGTACAATTTTCTGTTTTTAGAAAAATCATCAGTGTACACAAACAATTTAAATAATGAAGAATAAAAAAGTGCAAATTGTATTTGAACTTCGCCCTTTGCCCAAACCTTCCTTCCCCGGAAGCAGCTTCAAGGCAGCCACAGTTTACAGATGGCCCGTCCTTTCTGCACACTGTGCCGTCTGCTCCCAGGTTCACGGGCATATGCAGGTGTATGTGAAAAGATTTTCCTCTCTGGATGGAATGCACATTTTTTTGTGACCTGCCATTTTTATTCAGTGGCATCATACAGAGCTTTCAGTTCCCCCACAGATAAATCAGCCTCATTATTTTTTTCTTTTCTTTTCTTCTCTTTTCTTTTTTTTGGTACCAGGGATCGAACTTCAAACCTTGCACTTTTGAGGCGGGTGGCGGAACCACTGAGCCAAATCCCCAGCCCCTCATTATTTTCGATCCTATGTAGTCCTCCTTGGTTTGCAAACACCTTAACTTTTGTGTATGCACCCCCCCTCCCCTTGGGCGTTTAGATTGCTCCTGGGTTTTGTGTTACAAATAATGCTGCGGGGAACATCCTCAAGTCCACATCTCTGAGTGCCTAGGGTGCTCCTGTGGGTTAGGGTTGCCCAGCAGTTGGACTCCAAAAACTGTTCACACTTGGTGAGAATAGGAGTGACCTGACACTGGGCGTCATCATTTATAGTTTTGCTTGTCTGCTGGCTAAGTGAACTTCTTGCCCAAGGGACAGTCTTACTGGGCTCGGCTCCCCTTAGGCCATGGTGAGGGGCATGAGGGGACACTTGCAGGCCCCACTTTGGGGTTTCTCCCTCTCCCCACAGCTACCGGGGATGGAGAGTTCCTATTTTGTGGTTACGCTGTAATTACTTAGTTTCCACTGTCAGATATAAAGTTTTTACTCCTCCTCTACCTTACAGTAATGCTTTTTTTGTTGTTGTTTGAGATAGGAGTCTTCTGTCCAGGTTGGCCTTGATCTCCTGGGCTTAAGTGATCCTCCTGCCTCAGTTTTCCTAGTAGTTGGAACTACAAGCATGCAGTACTGAGCCAGCTTTGATGCTCATTGTTCTTTCACTCTTTGAATGTACATCGAACATCTACCGTGTCCCAGGACATGCCATCTTTATACACACTGCCTTTTCCATATTTTGAATGGGTTTGTGCACAGCAGAATCTGAAGTGCTTTCACGAGGGTGTGGTTCAGGGGTGGAGGGTAGGGGCACAGGGGCAGTGCAGCTGTCACTGCGTGAAGCTGATGAGGGGGGCGTGGTCTCCCCTTCCGCGCCCCTCCCCAAGATGGAGGTTATGGAAGCGCGTGGTGCAAACCACACAGGGTGATACGCTATCCTTCGTCTCTGGGCTTCCAGGAGGGCTGGATTTACATTCCTGTTCGGGAGTGGAGCTTGCATAATTTGTTCAAGGTCAGCCAGGGAAAGCTGGGGTGAGCAGGCTGGCAGGCTGTGGAGGGGAACCAGGAACTCTTGTGTGTGACTTGCTGGTCCTTCTCGGTCCCAGCGACTGCAGGCAGGTCTGCTCAGCTTGACCCTGCCCGTCACCTTCGAGGAGCCCCAGGCTCTTCCTAGAAGTCACCCCCAGGCTGACGGCTGTGGTCCTGTCTTCCTCGGTAGCCTTCTGATTCACTCCCTCCAGTGCTGGCTGCCTGGGCCTTGTCAGACTGCCCGGCTTCCTGCTCGGCCTCTAGAGGCTGGGCTTCTGAGGGCCTGTGGGGTGTGAGCTGCAGAGCCTGCTGGCTGTGCAGAGTGTGAAGTGAAGGTCCAGACAGCCTCCGGGAGCCGGCCTGGGGGGAAGGGCAGGGAGGGGCCAGGCCCAGGTTTCCACCTCCAAGCCAGCTCCCTGCAGGGATAGGTGAGAAAGCAGAGTGCTGCCTTCACTTCCCTTCAATCCTGGCCTGACAAAACATAGCGTGCATCACTGTTGAGAGCCATGTAAAAAGGCAGCGTTTTCTATGTGTTGTTGGAGTGTAAGAAGGCTGAGCTTCTCAGGGAGGCAGAGCGGGTGTCTCAGGCCTGCCTTAATCCTGTCACAACGTTAATGCAGCCACAGTGGGGCGTGGGTGCGCGCAGAGCAGGCTGGGAAGTGACAGCTACATAGCAACTGGGCCTTGGTGAGAGGCGAGGGAGGCGAGCCGTCGCCCTCTCGCTCGCCTCAGTGCTGGGGCCCAGGTCCAGGAATGCTTTGCCTCCCTCCGCCCGGTGGCTCATTGCTGCAAGGTGCTGTGTCAGAGCAGCCTGCCGGGGGCGGTGGTTGTGCTGTTTTCTGTGTCTGAGGGGCTGCTGGAAGGGAAGTGACACACGTGAGAGAGCTGGCCCCAGAATGGCTGACTCAAGAGGAGTCGGCACTAAGACTTCCATTGCCTAGCGAGACCACATCCATTCAGCTGGCACCAAGTGTGCGAGGTGTGGGAGAGCTTTGGGAAAGGGAGCCCGCCGTGGACCCCCGAGGCCCCCATTCTGAGCTCTGCATCCTGCCTCCCTCCCTGGTCCTTGGCTAGTAATCTTCTTAGTGTCCTGTCCTCTTGCTTTAGGCGGATGTTTGCTCTGCATGGGTTTTTTTTCTCTTTTGACAGGTGGCTGGCCTGTTGGGTTTAGGGGATTAGGGGTGAGAGAGGGCATTGTGGGGAACCCTAAGTGATGAGTGTTCAGCTTTCCCCAAGGGGGGACTAGTCCAGATGTGAAGGCTGCTGTTTGGGAGGGTGCTGGAGGGTCTGTGGGCCTGGGACAGGGGCTGGGGAGAGGGTCCAGCAAGGCAGTGGTTCTGTGGTGGGGGTGGGGAAGGGCTCAGCAGACCCCAAGACGCTGCCTCGGGACCTCCCAGGCCTGGATAGGGAGGGGCAGCACCAGAGAAGGAAGGGGAAGGCTCATTAGCCCTGGCAGGGTGGAGAATGTTCTGGGTCCTTTGCCAAGATGCCCTGCAAATCTGCTTGGGACTGTGTTCCTCACCTTTCAGTCCAGGGTGCTTTCGTGTTGGCTTCTCTTACACAGGGGCTGGGTTCGTCGGTGCCTGAGGCCTGCACGCTTTCTGCAGGGCCCGGTCTGTCTGTGATGGACGTGCCTACAGGGTTAGTTTGGGAGGCACAGGGAGTCCCCAGAGCGGGCAGGGGCAGCCCAGGCTGGATCGTCTGTCTTCTCTGTATCCAGACCCTAATGTGGGCCGACCTTCCCCGTGGTTCCAGCCTGCTCATGTGCGAGGAATAACAGCAGCAGCAGCAAAAATAGGACGGAGTAAACCGCTCACTTCTCTTCTCTGCTGTGACACGTCATGAGCTGGAGCAAGCAAAATTAGCAAGCATGTGAAAAAAGGAAAATAGGGTCTGGACCTCCATTTCCTGACTATTGCAGAGGGTCACAGGTGTTTCCTTTGCAGCGCGCCAGTGATTGTCGGGCGCTGTGCATTGTCTTTGCGGTGAAGGGTTTGGTTAGGAAGGGGAGCTCCCTTGTGGCATTGTTCCCTGGAGATCACTCAGACCCCATCTCTGGGCTTCCACTCACCAGGAACTGGCAGTGGCGGGGTGTACGCAGGTCCTGTAGTGAGGGTGCAGGACCCCCGCTCTCCTGGACAGAGTGCATGCCAAGTGCCGTCCTGGGTCAGGATTCCAATTCTGAGTTCACAGCTTGTCAAAGCAGAGTCTTCCAGGAGGCTGTGGTCATCAGGGCAAGAGTGAGTTAGTTACTCACCCTTGAATCCTGGGGTAGATGTTGGCTTAGTGATCTGTAATAATACCAAGCAGTACTTTGCCTTTTGTTTTGTTTTGGTGGTGCTGGGGATTGAAGCCAGGGCCTCACAAATGCTAAGCACGTGCTCTACCATTGAGCTCTATCCCCCCTCCAAGTACTTTGATAGTTTTTTTCTTTTTTTTGGTACCGGATATCAAACTCGGGACTCTACACTTGCAAGGCAGGTGGCAGCACCACTAAGCTAAATCCCCGGCCCACTTAGTTTTTAAAATAAAGTCACGCTGGAGTGGAATAAATGCTTAATTTTTTGTAGCATGTTGTTGGTTTTCTTGCCATGTGAGAAATTGCCTAACTTGTTAGATTTTATTGTATTTTCTGTGAGGAATATTCTGAAAGTGGGTGCCCCTAAAATGCAAAAGTTTTGTCAAGAGTTGGGCTCCTTCTGGCACATAGTAGGTACTCAATAAATATTTGTTGAATGAATGAAATCAGAACCATATGGAAATTGTTGCCTTCAAAAGCCCCAATTTCTACTCAGTGGATTTATTATCCTAGCAGCCGGGATTTTGTAGGAAGATACATGAAACTGTCAAGAGTCCTCCACTTGAGTGAAGTAGCTGCCTCTTGGGAATGTGTCTTTGACACCTAATTCATTCAGCAAATATTTACTGACTCCCAGTCTGTCCTGGGCCTCTGCTGGGGTCTGGGGTGCTCTGGAGAAGAGGTCTCAGAGTCAGGCTGCTCCCTTGTTAATGAAGACTTGCCGAGTGGCTCAAACTCTGGCCCCTGAAAGGACAAGACAGAATCTGTGTCTCTGCCCACACCCAGGAGGATATGGTGCCCACAACTCCTAGTGCCGGATAATTTTTATTGGTTGTTAATTGTGCCTATAATTTTTACTGATGGTAAACTCATTTCCATAATTACCAATACATTTATTCTGGCGGTTCTTTTATTGTAGCAGAAGATGGCTGTGCCTCCTACGTACATTGATCTTGGCAAATCTGCCAGGGATGTCTTCACCAAGGGCTACGGTGAGTGTCCAGGGAGGGCGGGGGTTACAAACCCGCTGACACCCATGGGATTTTACCTGTAACAGCTGGAGAGGCCTGGGTTGGTCAGCTGTGAGAACTTCGATGCCAGCGAGCAAAAGTGGCTGGGTTGGGCACCCAGGAGGGGCAGCTTGGGAATTGCTGCCCACAGGATGAAGTTCTCCTTCTCTCTTGCGAGCAAGGAGCCCTGCTGTTTGTTGCAACAGTGGAGCCTGGCTTCTAAATTTAGCCGATGGGGCCTGCAGGGCCTGGTGGCTGCTCCCTGCAGCTCTCAGACCCTGCTGCAGCGCAGGTGGGCAGGGTGAGGCCCGTGCCTTTCTGTCTGCGGCTGCTCAGCGACATCAGCTCCAGCCAGGCAGCGGCAGCAGCAGTGGCACGGGGGAGCTGGTGCCCCTAACCCTTCAGCATGATTCTTGAAAGCTTTTCCAGACTGCCGAGAGGGAGGCAGGGATGGTGTGCTCAGCTTGGTTGTTTACCCTGCTTGTCTTCTTTCTTTAGGGTTTGGATTAATAAAACTTGATTTGAAAACCAAATCTGAGAATGGATTGGTAAGTTGTGCGGCACATGTGGACTATGGGTATTTGTCACTGATCAGTAGATGCCTGCCGTATCTTGGCAGGGAGGGTCAGAAGCAGAGCCTTCTTTAGCCTGTAGTGGTCTGTGGATGTCACAACTTTGTATCTCCGTGTGACACGTGGTCTGGGGAGCCGGGCCAGCAGGCCCTCAGTTCATGCAAGAGACTGGGGATGTCCTCAGTCGTCGTTTCTCTTGCATCTTTGTTCTCTTTTTTTTATTGTTGTTACTGTTGTTGTGTGTGTGTTGGGTGGAACCCTGGCCCCTGAGCATGCTAAGCAAGCGCTCTGACACTGAGCTACACCCCCAGCTGCTTCCTTGTGTTTCTTATTTAAAAAATTGATCTGTGTTCATTGGCACATAATTATTTTTAAAAAATCTTAGTAGCTCCTTTTAGATTGCGCCTGCAGGAATTGTTGCCAGGGAGAAGTTCTGAGTGTGAATTGCTGCTCTGTCAGCTTCCGCTCAGCTCTGTACTAGGTTGGAGGCAGGAGGAAGGCAGGGTGCTTTTCTGTCCAGACTTAAGGATACAAGGGTGGAAGGAAGCTGTCTCTTGGCAGAGAATTCCCAGTAAGACTCCTTTAGGGGCTGGGGATGTAGCTCAGTCATGCGGTGCCTGCCCGGGAAGCGCAAGGTCCAGAGTTTGATCCTCGGTACCAAAAAAAAAAGACTCCTTTAGGTAGCAGGCTCTTTTACCCCTGTCTGCACTTCAAATACGTAACTGAGCTGTAGAACTAGCTTTTGCCTGCACACGCTCGGGCTCGCCTGTTGCAGAGAGGTGAGCACAGTGTGTTTAGGCATGGAGTGACCCTAGGGTGCTGGGCTGCAGGCTGTGACTCCGATCCTTTCCTTTAAGGAATTCACAAGCTCGGGCTCAGCCAACACAGAGACCACCAAAGTGACAGGCAGTCTGGAAACCAAGTACAGGTGGACCGAGTACGGCCTGACGTTCACGGAGAAGTGGAACACGGACAACACCCTGGGCACCGAGATCACCGTGGAAGATCAGGTAGTGGCTGCCTCGGAAGACGTGGCTTCCTTTCCTCGTTCGCATCTTCTGGCCTGCCTCGGGGCTGACCTGTGTCACTTTGCTTTCCTGTCTAGCTTGCGCATGGACTGAAGCTGACCTTCGATTCATCCTTCTCACCTAACACCGGGTAAGATTCCCTGTTCCTTTCCCCACGAGGATGTCCTGTGATGTGGCAGGAAGCTGTGACACCAGGTTTTGGGGATGGGGCTGACGTCAGCAAAGGGCAGTGGCCTCCTCGACTTGGAGATTCAGGTTCTCTGGTTGGATCTGGGGCCAGGACATATCCTTGGCTATCATTAATGAATGGTGCTGGCATGAACACGCCTTGGTCAGGAATGATATTTAACCAGCATTTTTTTTGTTGTTTTGTGGTGCTAGGGAGTGAGCCCAGGTCCTTGCACGTGCTAGGCAGGTGCTCTACCACCTAGGTACGTTCCCAGCCCAAGGCACGGTTTTGAGAGCCTCCTGTGCTTGGCCTCGTGCTCCTCCGCAGGATCCGAGGATGCCCAGGACAGGCTGCCACCTCCACCCCCAGCTTTTTCTTTCTCCTTCCTGATCGAACTCAGGACTTTGCGCTTGCGGGCAGGCAGCAAAACCACTGAGCTCTAAATCCTCGGCCCATAGGCTTTTTTAATGGACAGTGTTGAGCAGCCTGTCCTGTCCCATCCCGTGCCGTCCCGTCCCGTCCTCCCCCTCCCCTCCCCTCCCCCCTTCCCCTCCCCTCCCCTTCCCTCCTGT